TTATTACATTGCACTTATTTCTTTAAATTACACTTATATAATAATAATAATACTGAATTACCCTTACTTTTTTCTTTATGTGTGTACATTCACATATGTCACAGCACACGCATGGATGTTAGAAGATAGCTAAGGATGAACTCATTTACATACAGACGGCAGTTTTCTCCTTACACAGTATGGATCAGAGTCAGGGTGAAGGTTGGGAGCAGCGCTTATACACTGATCCATGTCACTAGCTCAGTCTTAGCATCATCACTTTCCTTAGTCCTTCTGATTCGTAAAAAAAAGTTGCATGGATCCTGAGGGTCCTGGACCAAGAAACTTCCAGTGCTATTTGATTTTCATGGGGTGTCCACCCTTCTTCTTAAGGTAGTTTATAGCACTGAGTGGCAGGTGTGGGCAGCTTTTGTGGGCAGCAGTGCATGGCCTTGTCACAGTTGTACTTCTTAGGAAACTGGCAAAGGGTCGGCTCTATGATGCTACCACACAGGCTCAGCACCAGGTCTCCAATTGTCTGGACATGGCTGACAGGCATAGATTTCTGTAGAGTTGTAGAAAGAGACAGCATCACCCAGGGCTGGACTGTGATGGTGACTCCTGAGAACAGGACCCTTTCTCTCCTGGGGGGAAAGGTTGGTGATGGGACCACTGAATGTCCTTTACTTTGTCATCATGAGCTACAGGTGTCACTGCTCTCTGAGGAGACAGTACTTCTATGATGTAAATACTGTATAGACCTGTGCAATAATCTCTCATGGAAAGAGTTGTTTACCTTGTCTTCCCCCCCCCAAACATTGAATTTCATGTTCTAAGGAGTGTATGACTATGACCTCCAGAGAGCCCAGACACCAGAAGTTCATGGATTCCACACGGGGTGTCAGAGTGTATGGATCAGGCTGAATGATTTGCTTGCGGGATTGTCTGTGTTGAAATCAGAGGCTGAGTCCTAGGACATCTCCAACCACACTCACTACCTCAGGTTTCCTCAGAGCCACCCTTTTATACAACTGCCATGTGAGGTTTTCTCTGACACTTACAGCAAATCCACACAGTGCAAAAACCTTATTAAGAACTAGAGAGTTGCCTCAAAGTCTAAGTGCTTTGGCTGCTCTTCCAGAGGATAGTGTTTTGTTTCCAAACCCACTTTATGGATCATCCATAACAACAATTCCAGTAGATCAGACGCCCAAGTCTGACCTCTACAGATACCAGGGTAGACATTCAACAAAGTAATATACCAATATACATAATATGAAACAAAATGTTTTTAAAAATCTACTCAAACATAACACTAATAGATGTGTCTATCTGGTTTTTTCCTTATTCGATTTAAGACCCAGACAAATTTTTAACCAAATGACCCATCACAAGTGGCCTCTATATTCTCTAGATACTTTTCAAATATGACTTTCAAACATTGGTGCCTCAATGAAAACTTTCTCAGAAGGTATCTTGCTTAATAGGAGAGTGTCAAATAACAAATACGTTCAGCAAAAATTTCACAGTTTTATTGGACCACAAGAAATAGTTTAAGAAGTCACGACAGCATTTCACATTGCTCTTGTTCTAAGTTGTATCATCAACAATAGCTTATTAAGTAATAGCTGTTTGTTACAGAACAAGCCATCCTAACAATAGTGGGCTCTGTGTTCCCTTTGGAAACCAAGACAAATAACTTTCTAGGGACACAAAAACAGAAGATATAATGTGTTCTTCGTATATAATTAAAGTGATGTAAATTCAGCAAATACACAGTGTTTTTCTCTGCAATTATGTAAGGCCCAGGTGACATAAATTAACTTCCTACAATGTATATATTTCAAGGGCTAAAGTCCAGGCATCCCGACAGCTAAGAATTAGGCATTTAGCTGTCCATCCTAAGAAATGATTACAGTCTCATTCTCCTTAGGATTTTATTTCAATTTGGGAAGGAAGGGGCCAACTTGGTTCTATTCCATGAGTGTAAGGAAAAGTCTCTATGCACACATGTATATCTCCACGAGGATCATTGAGGGCTGAGGCTCTTTCCTGAAACACTTGAGCTCTCCAGATCCAGGGTCTCACAATGAAACATTGAGATTATCTTTATGTCATGGGTGTGCCATGTGAAGGTGAAATTTTATGATGGAAGATTTTTAAAATATTTTATTTATTTATTATGTATACACCATTCTGCTTCTCTAGTAGTAACCTGAACCCAGACAATGCATCCATCAGTGGCGTGAAATGCTTCTTCTGTTCTAAATTGAATTTGCCTTTTGTGTAGAATGAGTTTGCTGGGAGAGAGATTATAATATGGGGACAGGATTCTGTGATACTGCAGGAGGAAGGGCCCTTAGGAAGGATTCAGCATAGAGGAGGGCAAAGACCAGAGAAGAATGACAGACGCAGGACTGAGGTGTTCAGAGAAATGGATTGAGTGGGGGCAGGGAACTGTAGTGATGAAGAAGGTGGATGGATCAGAGTATAGACAGATGTTTGAGTCTACACTGCACTTGGGATCTGCAATCTCCCAAGACAGTGACAGAAACAGCTTTGGTTGGGGATGTTTGAGGTTAGTATCAGAATGAGAATGGAATGATGGAGAAACTGAAGGCTCTTCTCTCCTGAGGTTGATTGAGCATCAACCATGGCCATCACAGACAGTGACAGAGAATGTTCAGAACAAGTTATGCAAGTCCTGGGTGACCCACTGGGGAAGAAGGATTTCCTCTTTGCGTGCACTTTTGATTTGTAACAGGTAATTTCCTTATTCCTCTGACTTTCTCATTTCTGTCACAGGAAGCCCCTCTGCTTCCAATCCTCCTGACTATACCTGCCCCTTTCCTTTCTATCTGGACCACAGTTCCTGATGTGACACTGCAGATCCTGTCTCACTGCCCTCAGTACTAATGCTTAGGAGATCAAATTATCTGGCTGCTATGTGATGTCCAATAATACCAGTTGCCAAATTACAAACTGATGCTGGTAATAATCTCCCTCTGCCCTTCCTTAGGGTACAATGAGGGTAATAACCTCTCTTTCAGGGTTAGTGTGAGAATCAACTCGTCTGGTTATATGGGAGGCTTCATATATGGATTCTTATTTGTGAGAGTATGACCTGGGGTGGGAGAGGGCATTGGTTATTTCTTGTCATCTTGCCATAGACTAATGTCACTTGGGATAAAGGGAACATCATTAGAGGAAGTGCTTTGATCAGAATAGAGTCTTATCTGTGGGACACTTTCCTGATTAATTTATGCTAAGAGACATCAGATGCAACTTGAAGCAAACAGTCTCAGAGTACAATTCATGGAAGCAAAGTTTGGGACCCATGACTTGGTCACTTTCATTTCCTGATGCCAGTGTGTGGTTTTCTGACTTAGGTATAGTAGGAGGGTCTCCAATTTCACAGATGCTGGGTTTCTCTGCTGGATGCATCCAGCCCT